TTATAAATTTTAATAAATTCATATCTTATTTTAAATTTCAATTTTTCTATCTTATTTAAAATTATTTTTATTTTTATTTTGTAAAAAAATACATAAAAAATTACATGTTAAATTGTATATTAATACAAATTAAAAATATAAATAATATGTACATATATAATATACTTGTAATTGATATCACAAAATAATATATGTAATATCAACATAGATATTATATTATTAAATATATAATTTAAATTAATAATATACTATAAAAGTTATCTAAGTTGTATATATTACAAACAAATATATTAGAACAAGTAGTCATTGTTATATTTAATAAGACTCTTTTGCTCTTCCATTAAGAGATTCAATTTTCATTATTATTTTTGTAGTTTATGGTCCCATAAAATTTTTAAAAAAAAAATAAGAAAAAAGTGGTTGAACCGGTTTGACCCACCAGTTCACCGGTTGAACTGGAAAATTGACTGGTTCAATCCAGTTTGAAACGGGTTGACTGCATAATCGATCCAATTTAAGATTCGGACCGGCTAGACCACCGATTCTTAGTCCGACGACCAGCCAGTTTGATCCGAGTTTTAAATCACTGAATGAAACACAACGAGAGAGAAAATTAGATAGAGGAGAAATAAAAGAAAGAGGGAGAGTGTAGCAACTTGTCAAATCCCTACACTTTCCGGCTCAGCAACTAACAATGAAAAATAAAAATCTAACTACTTTTGGTTAGCATGCAAGCAATACCTAGATATACATGCAATAACATATACATGTGTGAAATTTCATCAACATTTGAAATAATAAAATAAATTCCTCAGTGGGACTACAATTTATATATGCAAGATGAAATGGCTGGCCAAATTCTGTAGCTGCACTTGTTTCTAATCATCAATGTTCCTGAACACCAGCATGATGTAAATGTAAATTAAAAGACTACCTTAGTAATATCAAATACTGTAAAAGAATCAAAGAAAGTATGAGAAAAGAAAGCCAATAAATTCAAAGAATTGAGAAGAATTCTTCATATATTATGGAATGGAATGAATACAAAAAAATGTATTTATACTGTGGAAAACAACGGAAAGATAAAAAAATTATAACAGATAAATTATCTGATTATAATAATAGAAAAAAGAAAATTAATAATAAAAAATATCAGCTAACACCCCTTCAAGCTGGAATGGATGTCAAACATTTCAAGCTTGGAAATAATCTGCTCAAAAGGTCTTGGACTAAGAGCTTTAGTAAAAACATCAGCTAGCTGATCTGCAGTAGAAATTGGTAGCAACTATATTAAACCAACTTGCAATTTTTCCGAACAATATGACAATCAACTTCAATATGTTTGGTTCTCTCATGAAAAACAAGATTGGAAGTAATATGAAGGGTTGACTGATTGTCACAAAACAAAACAATAGGATGAAAACTATGAAGACCAAAGTCATGGAGGAGATAAGAAAGTCATTGAGTCTCACAAGTGCTTTGGGCCAAGGCACGATATTCTGCTTCAACAGAAGATTTGGAAACAGTAACTTGCTTTTTACTCTTCTAGGAAATGAGTGCAGGTTCGAGAAAGAAAGAGAACCCTATTACAGAACTACGAGTATCAGAACAAGAAGCCCAAAAAGTAAATGTGATAAAAATACTAATCTTATTGCTTAACCAAAAAGTAAGTATACTTACTTGACAGGAATACGAATAAAAATAACACAGTCATGGTCATGGATGAACTTCTGGTATAACAAGCCATAAAAAATGCATTTCTTTTTAAGTCACGGAGGAGTTTATTTATAGGTTTTTGGATGCTCCTTATTTTAGCACCCACCACATATTAACTTGTGGAAGGTGAACTATTCTCAGACGGATCACATTGTCAAAGGTGGACTATGCTCAGACAGATCCAAATGACATTTTTTTATTCAAAAAATAATGTATTTTAAAAAATAAATTTTATATTATAATATATATATATATATATATAAATTATCATATTATAAAATATAAATTTAAAAAAAATATTTATTTATTTGATGTCTGTCAAATTTTTAAAATAAATTAATTATTTTTATGTGAAGATGTATGTAGTACAATCCAATGGTTTAAGTAGAAGAAAGAGTGAAAAATAATAATAAATGTGATACAAAATTAAAAAATAAAATTAAAAAAAAATAAGAAATAAAATGATATTAAAACGTGAATATAAAAGTTTAGGATTAAGAATATAAGGGACACGGTGATTACATGTAGAAAGTGGCAGGAAGAAAGAAAACAAGTTTTTTTTTCCGTGATACAGCCTATATAGCATCTGTACATAACATTTAAGTGTGGGGTCAGTCTAAATGTGCATAAAATGAAAAGCTAGTTTAGTCAACTTTTCAGTTTCTTTTGTTGCAATTGATCACTGGAGAACCAGGGATTAACCATATGTCATGCATTTCATATCTAACCCGGAATTTAAATTAAATATTAAGTTTAATAAATAAATGAATTGAATTTAAGATATTCATTTAATTTTAATTGATTTGATATATAAGTATATAATTTATATAATAAATTTTTATTTAATTTTAATTTATTTAATTTTAAATGAATTTTTATAATTTAATTATAAATTAATAATAGTAAAATAAATGAATATTTTAAAATTTCATGATCATGAATTATATTTTTTATTATTTTATGTAAAGTAAAATAATTATAATTTATATAGATTTTAGTTATAATTATATTTTTTTAGAGTATACTTTATAATCTTGTCAAACTAATATAATAAGTTATGTTTTATATTTAAAATAAATAAATAAATATTTTATTTAAAATTTATTATTAAATT